AACCACCGACCTTCGGATTAGTGGCTGACCTGCTCTGCCACCTGAGCTACAGTCAGCCCGTAAGAATGCACTAAACAGTATGGTCAAAAACAAAGGAAAAATTTAACTAAATCTATGTGCTGTATTCATTCTTATCTCACTCTGGGACTAGAGTAAGGGTCAGATACGGTCATTTGTTTATGATTTGCTGTTCTGCAGCCAAACTGCTCACAAGACCTTAGTAAAGAACTGGTTCGGGTAAAAAGTAGGTTTAAGGTGAGGATTAATGTTATTTATGTGATCGCGTCAAGGTCAGAGTCTGAAAATACATTATTATTGACCTCAAAAGCACAGACGTATGTTAGGTACCTTCATCCTGAATGTCTCTGCAGCGGTGCTGAAGGCAGAAAAAATCTCATCAAAGTCTTCTGAACTTTTGTTGACAAAGAGAAGAGCGTGGTTTAACACAGGCGAAGATAAGATCTGAGAGGCTGTCTGCAAAAGGAGACAAAGCGGTTCAAACACTTAAGCAGTGAAGCTGGATTTCAGCTGGCGCTAATGTTAAGGCAATTCAGCACATTTTTAAGTTCAATGGACAGAGCCCTCTACTGGCTGAGATGATCATAACAGGTGCAAATGAGGATATTAAGTTGTAATTGAGCCGCTAACTGCAAAGGCAGGAGGTGAAGGTGGATAAAGAGGACAACAAACTCCAGCTCTGTGTGCCAAAGCTCCAGTGCATCCATCAGAGTGTGAACGCATGTGATAAAAAGCACTTAAACTTCAGTTAAAGTGCTGTGCAAACTAGCTTGATTGCTCTTTCAGAGTATAATAACACCTTTTAATATGGCGTCATGTATGCCAAAGAGGTGGATAAATATTAAAATTGATTTTCAACATAATGCGATCCAGTACCACCACCACCCACTACGACCTCAGTGATAAAGATAAAGTAGAATAATCAACTTTCGGGCAATGTCAACAATAGACTTATAAAAGTTTATGGCAGAAGAGCTGCATTACACTGCAAGGTGCAAGGTGCTCGGTGGGTGTAGCCTACATGAAAACAGCAATTAGATTTCAGTCAGCAGAGATTTTCCCTGAACACCATCCCAGTGGATTCAGACCAAACCGTTCCTACCGTAGCTGTTGTATATGTGTGAAAATACACCATGGACACAACACTGTACCTGCCCGGTGTACTCAGTGACTGGGTCCATCTGGTAGATCGTGATAAAGACAATCAGGACCCCTTTAGATGTCTCGGGCGTCATTTTGTAAGCCTTGATGAGCTTAGACTGCAGTGGGCACACACACAGACACACAAACATACATGGTATCACAGGTAAGACTATAACCAACAAGTCTGCTTTATATATTTATGCTTCTTTTGTAAAACTCTGGCTGCAACATCAAGATTTCTTTCAGTTATGCTGTCTTTTTGAAGGCTCACAGTGAGGTTTCTGTTTAAAATCTCACTCATGTTTTATGGCATTCACCCTCAGCTCATTTCTCTTAACTAAACAGAACTAAAAACT